CCACCCGCCTCTGCACAATGGAAATAACTGTATGACTGACTGGTAATTCACTTCCCCATCTGAGTCCAGTGAAACTGTTTATACCGTTAGGGTCACTGCCACATTATCAGCTCAAAAGGATCAGTGCGATAAGTGACAAGAGGTTAGGAAAGCAGTACTCGATTGCTGTTTTTGCAGAATGTACATATTTATCTACAATTGTCTAAATCACAATGAGATAGTTTTGGATGGAGAAGTTTATAAGTTTGATTGTTTGTAAATGTGAGTGGATTTATTTGCTTAATATCTTCAGCCTTTCTTTAATTTTGGATATAATAGCTTAATTGGAAACAATTTAACATATATACTAATAAGGCATAAACATAATTAGCTTTTCCATTCAGATACTCTTTATGAAGTGAAAGACAGAAACTTGCAAGACAGTACAGCCTCTGTCCTGTGGAGGATGTAAAGTGTGGACTATTTCCAATTTTTATACTGAAACAGGTCCAAAAAGAGTATTTTCATTTGAACATTTTCCAGTTTCGCATTTTATATTCTGTATGACTGCTTGCTGATGCTACTGAGAGATTGTTCAATAAGCGAGTCTTGTTACCATGATATTGCTGATGTGAAGTCTGTCCAAGCTGGATATTTTGGTTCTTAGCAGGACGGCAGTCCTAGAGGACGTTAAAAACAGCTTTCATGCTGAGAGTTAGATGAAAAAATCAATAAGGGCAACATGACCTTAAACTGCATAAGACGCTGGAGCCAGCAGCCTGTGAGCTCAGCTTAGCATAAAGACTCAAACCAAACAGCAACAGCTAGCTTTAGCTTGGCTCCACTGGCTGCACACTAGCTTGTTAGCACAGAAGTTTATCCGGCGCAGGAATGAAGACTTCAGTACTCGTGCTTTGCTCTTTGTTAGTCACAATGATGGATGGAATGAATCTCTATTAGTGACCATATGCAACTCTCAACTCTGCAACTATAAAACAAAAAAAGGAAGGCACTACTTTGTGGTGCTATCCAAGTTCCTCATTAGCCAAACAGCTAGTAGGGTAGACCAGGGTTTGTTGTTACACTTTTTGCTCTTGCATGAATTGCTGATCATTGAATAGCTTTCAATAACTATTCCTTTGTTAAATCAGAGCTTATGGTGCTAGCTAAACATGGGTATCCTTTTCATTTTTGCAGTTAATTGTATCACAAAGTAATTAACCATCAATGACACGTTGTGAACACCAACTGGGGTTGGTTGTCTCCATAGTTATCAATGGTGTTTCTAAATGTAAATTTAGAAATGAACACCATCTATTACACCTTGTAATTAAAATGTGAATTTAAACAAGTGATAATTATTGTGTATTATGAGCAGTGAAATTAAGGTATTCTCAGTGCTTTAATAATGTCACTTTTATAAAAGCCACAAAAACAACAGAGAACAAATTCCACTGATGGTATCACTGATATAATTTTTAAAAAGGCCAGAAGTTCTGTATATATTTTAAAAGACAAACAGATCTTTTTGCAAGATTTTCCAACAGGTAACCAGAGGAATATTGAGCAAGGTGGTGTAAAAGTGAGAAGAAAAATGAACTGCATCAATATCAAACTGACTGCTCTCCATTTAAGTCCTTATGCATGCTCGATCAACCAGGTAAGGAAAGTTTCTGGGATCTCCATTTTAAGGTTGCTTGTTGTGATTTAGCAAGCCTATACATCACTCAGCATCACACAAGTCAGTCATGACAAACATATACCTCTGTTTTTCAGGGATAAAGTCTTTGTGATATCAGTTTTAGCAGACAACACAACAAAGCCATACTTCCTCTGGTTTATGGCTCAACAAAAACCATTCTGTCAACAAAGAATCAACCACAGGGTAACAGTGAGACCTAGCTACCAAATGGCTTTGGTTGGGTAGTGAAGAACTGATTCAAATCAAAGCTATTACCTTCAACTTTTTAATAAAAGTCCAGTTTAAATGTCTAATATTGTATGATTTTTAATACAGAAACAACAACATGAAAACTCTGACCCAAGAAAATCACAAAATGTGTCCTCCCCTCAAAGTTTGTGTGCTTTCCACAAACTGACCACAGCAAAAATGGACATATTGTCAGGTCAAATGTGTGATACTGACAGATTCCACGGTGTGATGTGACAACCAACTTATACTTGCTATTCCTTCCAATACCTTTAAAGTTTAGTATTTAGCACTTTGTTTGTTCATCAAAATAGCAGAAAACAAAACAATTTAATGGGGGGTTGTGTTGGACTATTTCAAGATGGTGCCAGTTTGCTGATGTAAACTCAACAAAGTTACTCATCCCAAAACCTAGTGCAGCACATGGCACCCTGTAAAATGGAAAGCCATTTTTTTTTTTTTTTGCTCTTTGATTTCACACCATGTAGTCTGAGTTCTTGCTTCTGACACATTAAGTTGCCCCAACCCTCCCTGCACCTGTCATGGTGATTACACTCCCAGGAGGGTGGCGGGTGGGGGGGGGGCGAACGTGTGCATCATTCAGCTTTCTACAATACACCGCTATCGGAGCAATCTCCCCCCTTTTGTTCAACTCCTGCAAGCGAAGTCACCTCTGACCTGCCTCTGCCAGGGGCCACATCTTTATTAATGAACAGACTAAATGTGATAAGGCCGCCAGCAAAAATCAGAACTCAGGCACAATCTTGCTCATTAAAGCTACTTTTTTTATAAAAGATTCAGGCCACTCCAGGAGTCGTGTGTCTGAGTTTGAAACTCTGCATTAGTGTCAGTACGAGGCCCTGTTTGTTAGACGCATTACCTCAGAGCACTTGGTAGTTCATGTTGAGGTAATGCCGCTGCGAGATGAAGAGAAACTACAAATGCGATAATCCACCAGGCTTTCAGCAGAAACAAAAGAAGAGAAGCAGAGTGTGCACAGCAAAGGGGTGAAAAAGCCCAAAGACTTAAGAAGTGCAAAACAACAACAGGCTGAAAACGCTCCAACACTGCTGCAATGCAATCGTGAAGAGTTAACACAGAGAAGAAATACCCAAACCACCTTTCCTCCAAATGCAAAAGGGGAAAATTCATTATGGTCTTAATTGGATAAGCTATATCAACCATAGGCACCGGCTGCTTTCGCTTTCAGGAGCTAAATGAAGAGCCTTGATTCCACTGGGAGATCCAACAAAGAAGGCCTTACTGGAGAAGTTAATGCTCTCTAGTGTTTTGTTGAGCTCTATCTTAAGCCCCACAATTCACACTGGGCTGCAAAGAAATGTCTGGGGGTGACAACC